ATGTCTATACTAGTTGTTTTACTTTTCTATTCAACTAGCTAACTTCTGAAACCAAACATGGTATTCATATTTGTCAATACATGTTAAATATTTTCTATTTTTATCTATGCCTAGTGAGGAAGGGAATGAGATGCTAATACAGATAGTATGTTTTCTAACTGATTGTTGTTTTAGTTTGAGAATAAAGCAAGTTTGAGTGTCTTCTCCTAGGTCTAATATGGTTTTCATGGAATAATATAATAAAGTTGGTTATATTTAAATATAAATAAACACATAGCAATATAAATAAATATACACTATTGACATACAATATTTTTCAAACTTAATATTGTTTTACTTTTGGGGAAACGAGATTTACATTTTTTGGATGGAGGAAGTAGTTGGAGGTAGGGGTAGAGGAAATAGCTTTTGTGATATAACCAGTCCAACAATTTTCAAAATCTTGAAGTGCCGGTCCCTGAGACGGTGCGGTTCCAAGTGCGCTGAGGAGGAGTGAGGCGTTATACTCGCTAGCGCAAAATTCAGTCTGGTGCTCCTGTTGCTGACCCATTGCAGCTAGACTTCGGCCGCTGATAGGACCCACCGTTGCCAGACTCTGCCCGCTTAGAGCACCCACCGGCGTCAGACTCCGGCCCCTCAGAACACTCACCGCCGTGAGACTCCGGTCGCTCAGAGCACCTGTCGCTACTAGACTACGACAGTTTAGATGACCTATTGTTTGTGTTTTAAGCTATAGAGAATGAGGGATGCGTTTGGAGTGATAACCTGCTACTGCACTAGTCAATGCTTGAGCAGATCAACTGGATTTGTTGGAGCAGTTGTACGTGTTCGTATGTAACAACATTACATGGTATGTCATTTTAATCAAACTTCATTTCTTAATAAAAATGAAAAAAAAAACTAATTAGCACATTCTTTCCATACTTCCATTGTAGAAGCACCAGATTTGGCAGCAACACCAGCACCAGCGGCACTGGCTTATTATGAAGCGGCACAACTTATGTGGCGACACCAGCTTATGAGGCGCCACTAGGAGAATACCAACAACACTAGCCTATGAGGCGGCACTAGTGGCACAGCTTATGAGGCGCCACCGGGAGGACGAACAGCACCAGCTTAGATAGAACCAAAAAACTAATAACCACATGCTTTTTTATTGTGATGCAAATCTTGAATTTTACATTTAAGTATGAACTCAAGAACAATATATGTATTATTACCAACTCAGATAGGACTAGAAATCTTGACTGCTACAGCAGCGGCACTAGCTCATGAGGCGGCATGAAGGCTCTGATGCCCGGATCAGCCAGCTGAGAGGTTGTAGTAGCACTTTGCAGTTCACGGAATTGATCCTCTCTTATTTCTCTTTAAAAACTTGCGTACTCAACTATTATCTCTTAGTAGGTATTATACGATGATGTACAATTAGTCCATGATGAAAGGCTATTCTATTGCTATATACGATGATCATTCAGACTTCTTAGGCAGCGTGCACTCACCACAGATCAAAGGCAATCAGTGCAGCGCCCACAAGGTATAGTAAACAATTAGACATGTAATACTCTTGTGTAGGTGTTGTGTGATCCAAATAGTCATTGATAATAACTAACATCATGCAGCCCAATTTAATCGTATAATTCATACTTATCATGTTATTTAGTTCCTGTATACCAAATGACATTGTAAATTTTAAAATTGTTTGCTAAATTTGTAAATGGTTTTACCGAATTGTATATATGAAAAATCTGATTTGGCATAACCCTTAGATAAAATCCTCCGCGACCGGCCCTCAACTGCAACGCCTCATCAGGTAAGCCCAACAGCTCCTACCTGCTACTGACCTAGAGTTAACCTATTTATTTTATTTTTTGATTGTTGGATAGTTGGATGATTAATTAGTTAGTTAGTTCGGTTGTTAATTTATAAGCACATTAAATATAAATTATCTAAAGATGGATGGATACAAAAGGAAGAGGTATATATTGTATTTTTGTAGGCATGAGGCAAGATCTGCGTGTGCCCCCAACATGTGGACGTCTAGAGAATTTTCATTTTATTTGACATCTTACTTATGTGACATCTTTGGTTTAGACTTTATTTGCTTGTTCTGTGGATGATGTAGTTGTACTCTAAAAATAGGCCAGGTGCAATTATTCCATGGTTCAATTCATGTCTCGATGCATCCAATGCTTCGTCTGTTGATGGCCCCATCTTGTTCATTGTTGAGGCCGAGGCAGAAGAGCCCGGCCCAGGCAGCCTTATTCGTTTTGGTGGGAATTGAGGAGGGTTGAAAGGGATTGAGTAATAAGATTAATAAATCGATAACAAGTCAAAATCTCTCTTAATCCCCTTCCAATCCCTGAGAGGGAGAGAGAGGGGACTAATTGAACAAGGCCTGAGGACTCAACCAACAACAATAACATCAAGATGCAACCAACGGCAATGACATCAAGATGCAAGCACAAAATTTATGACAGATCGTCACTTTGTTCAAGTGCCCACCCCGTCTTGCGCAATACACCAAGGAACTTGGACATTAATGATAACAGGAAGAAATTTTGATGTACAATTCTACGCTACGCAGTCTGAAGTTACTGCTATCATCGGACCTCCTTAACTCCGTGTTTGAGTTGTAATATACAAATGTCTGCGGCGGGTGCACATTGAGGTCCCAATCCAATCATTGTTGCTTTAGTTGGTTTCGGTTGTTAGCTTATTATTGGTTTTATTACAGTAATCACTATCGTTGCTACGCCCCTATGGGTTTGCTGTTGGTTCACTCACAGATGTATGGGTGAAGTATCTGATTCAACTTTCAAGTCCATGATGGCCCACAAACGCTACCGAAAAGAATAGAAAAAGCATCCTACTCTTTCATGCACATTGCCTAATCTGGGCTTTTTCTTCTTTTCAATATATATACAAAAAATCAGTAGCTCGTCTAAACAACAACGACAACAAATAATCACAGCTAAAACCAGTTTCATCTGTTGGTATCCTTTTTGCTGAGCTTCTGACATATATTGGCTTATTAACAATGAACATCGTCAGAATGCTAAATCCTGAAAACCGGAGATAGAAGGGAGTTCAGCATCAAGTACAACATGCCAGTGTTCATTCGTCCCTCCTGAATCCCCAAATTCTCTTTTTCTGAGCCTTGTCCTCAAGCAACCTGAAAATAAAAGGAAATTTGAGATGAATGTTTAAGGTTTTAAATCCTGACAAAAGTGTTTGTTGTTATGTAGAAACCCTTCCTTTTAGTATATTTAATAACCTTATGAGACACTCTCTTGAGTGTCTTTCTCAAAACACAGGACATGTTTTAGTAACTAGTTTCACTAATGAGGATAATAGCTTATCGAGGATTTGAGGTGACAGATTAGTTTTAAGTGTGAAAAAGATACTGCCAGAAATAGATGCAGCTCAAGCTCAAGTGCGCAATAATTTGGCCAAATAGTGTATTTCACAAAGGAACAAACATGTTTCCTGTCTCAGAGACAGACACTGGAAAGTGAAGCTGCAAAACCCATCGAGGAGTAATATACTATTATGTCCAAAAGTTCCAGATGGTCAACCCTAAAAAGTACCTCTTATCAAAAGCAGGTGGAGCGCCAACATTCAATTACGTGGATATGTGTAAAACTAGTGTTCATAAAATCTTATCATCATCTTCCACATTGCAGCTTTTTCAGATGATTCATTACTGTAGGACCATAATTTCAAGAATAATGCACAATGCTGCTAGAGACTTCACCCCACCTCACTGTGAGCAAAATTGTAGTCAGACGTCAATATCTTGATCTTACAAAAAATATTACCGGGCACTCAACTCCCATTTATGCCAAGGGACTGATTGTGCGGTGCCCAAAATTACAACTTGTACTACTATCCATACTACAACACAAAACTAGCCGTAATAACAGAAAAACACAGGTATTGTAGCAAATAGAATCATATCATATAAGAAAAAAACGTAGAATGCACTCATATGCATGAGCTTGCACAAGATAGATAATTCCGTGGCCTTAATTCTAAGGTCTCCAGTAAGTCAGCATGCTACAGCCAATTAGAGAATGCATAGGATATCAGGATCACCTCGTGCTCCCACAAAGGTATGACCCAAAACCTAGTAGCAAAAACACATGAATAGATATGTTCTGAGAAAGGCATCTTTGTTTTTTCCTTTTTGACCTACAAACCTGCAACAAGTGTATTACTGAGTTACACCCATTTGCATCTCTGGAAAATGATCTATGAAGATTGACATTCAAAATAGGCATGAAGTCAAGTCAAAATTCATCATCCAGATTCTCCTTAAACAATGTGTGGCATGTTAAGGAGCCTTTCTTTTTGGCCTATAAACTGACTAGAGCAAGTGTTGTGCAGAGTTACACCCGTGTGCAGCTCTGAAAAATGATTAACGAATATTGAACATTCAAAATGGACAGCTGAACCAACACTTGTACATTTCCTAATGTAAGCAAAAAATTCCAACATATTATGGCCCTCATTAACTCAATCATATCGTTCGGATATGCCAATGTCACATAAAATTCACCAGGATACAAGTCCTACTTCGAACTTATTATCAATTTAATTTAATTACCCGTGACTGAACAACAAATTTCACTAGAGTCTACAAGTCATTTTTGCTCAACTGTGGTGGTCATATTGCCAAATATCGTGCTCTTAACAGTGACCGCCAACATATGAAACTATAAGTCTGTAACATATTTTTTTTCCGAACAATGAAACTATAACATATTGCTTTGACGCTATTCAATTCAAGCTGACAACGCAATGGAAAGTCCATCCCTCCTCTCAAAAGAGAAAAGCAAAGTCCACTCAATTTCGATGAAGTAGTCAGATACAGATTTGTGCACATTTAGATGAACATCCGGACTCCAGCCACAAACTAGGATCAGAAAACTACACGAGCTAATCTGCAGTGCAGCCAGCGATGGGATACGAAACTGAAAAGCGTTGGGCAACGGCGTACCTCAATCGACGTGTTGGTGGATGTCATCCCCGTCGTCGTCCTCATCATCCGACGAAGAAGAGGAAGAGGAGGAGGACGAGTAAGCGAAAGGGTGCGGCGCAAGCTCGGGGGGCCGGAGGACGAGGAAGCGGCGGCTGCGGCGGAGGCGGAGCGGGGCGCGTGCGGGCCCGGGGAGGAAAGGGACGCAGAGGAAGGCGGCGAGGCGCGCGAGGAGGTGGAGCGGCGCGCAGCAGATGAGCGCGAGGACGCGGTCGGGCGGCAGCGTCTCCGGGTTGCACGCCACGCGCTGCCACGCCGCCGCCGAGCCACGCGCCACCCACACCACCCACCCCGGCCGCACCGTCATGAATTGGAACCCCCAATTCAGCAATTCGCCTTCGCGTGCGCGGGGAGCGGAGAACGGAAGGGGAGGGGAGGGGAGGCGCGCACGGCACGAAGGCGTCCGCCTGCCGCGTGGATCTCGCCGCCGGGTTTGGGTTTGCTGCTGTGAATTCTCTGTTTGCCGTTTGCCGCGACCGCGAGATTCGCAGTTGGATTCATAGCCGGCTCTAGCTTTATCTACTCGGCTGCATACGTGGACATGGCAGTTGACTCAGCGCCTCAACGTCTGCGGTGGAGACCGCCTATCAGCGGAACATTTCTGCTGCGAATTGAACGCTCGGGGCTCGCTCTCGCATCGCATCTCCGCAGCGGATCCGATTCGTCTAGGCATTTCCGGGGCTGGGACGGGCTCGCAGCATGCGTCCGCGCATGTACCTCTCGTTCCCTACTCTCTCCATCGCTTGGGTGGATGGATACAAGCAACCAAACGAAAGGTTGCTCTGCATCTATTCACGCCCGGACGTGGGCCTGTATGGCTGGGACAAGACAGGCTGTATTGCAGCGAAATCAATCACGCCCGTACGGCACTACAAGAATCTAGCTTTGCATTAACACAGAAAATAAGCAAGTGATACAAAAAATCACGATCAAAGAACACTACGATAGCCACCCAGCAGCTGAAAAATTCACAAGTTAATAATAGTGGAAGACAAATTTGCTCCCATTAATTAGAAGGGAAAACAACAGCTACAGCCCATGGTCAATGCACCATTGCATTAACAAGTAAAAAGGAACTTTGGTTGGAACAAGAAAAGAAAACAGTTTCGTCCACTGCATTTTATTTCATGCATTCTGATTTTGCCGTAAAGAGAAGACTTGCGACCATGTCTAATCAGCACTCTAGGGAAGTGTTCTCTGGTAGAGTGGAAGGGCTCCCAGTGCTTCACGCTCGGCGTTTTCCTTTTTCACCTGCAAGAAATGTGATATATCAAACAATAGCCACTTCTCATATGGATTCAGACAAAATAAAAAAGGGAAACAACTTTGCTGCTTTTAAGTCTAAATCAAGAACTTTGCAGCATAGTGCTAATCAACAGCTTGAGCTAAGGAGTTTCTTAAGCAGTGACACATCGCATGTCTGCAGTTAAAATTCTACTCCTAGAATCACAACAAAAATCATGTTAAGTTGCAATGTTGTTTACAAAATGGTTATTGTACACAATATTTGAAGCACGCCATATATAAGTTGTCCAAGAATTTGTAAAAGCTACGATTTATATCTTTCACTGAATATTGGTTTGCAAAAGTAAAATAGCATCAATATGATAGTGACCAAGAAAAGGAGTGAGACCCTAGGGAAATACCATAAGAGTAGTAAAGGCGGCCATGGAGCCACACAAGAACAAGTCATGATATCTAGGCTGAGATGAACTTTATCATTGGATGATACATGATATGATAATGATTAATGAACTACCTAATACAATGGCTTAATCATTAAAACTACATCCAATCCAAAGTACATTTTCCCTGATTCTTCCATGTTTACGCCTACTTAAATGCTAACTAATCAATGCAGTAGACTTGTCAGTTGCACTCATATTAAATCTAGCAACGATTGATAGGCAACACACTCCCAACCTTAATTCTTGTCATGTAGATTAGCTCCCTTGTACGCATGAAAAAGAGGGAGTGGAGTGACACTAATGCAAAGGCATGTGAAATGCCAATGGCATGAAGCAAAAAGATTCTTACCAGAGCCAACATGTCACTCAAATATCCTCTGAATGGAACCTGCTGTGCCTGTACAAAAAGGTAAATGTTTCACAATGTGTAAGTTTACAAGGTTATATTTAACAATATTTTATGATACTGTAAGCATTACATGATGTGGAAAGAGTATCCGGACACAAAACTCAAGTCCATAGAGAAGAAAATTCAAGAACATGTACTTCCAAATTATAAGACGTTTCGGCTTTTCTAGATTTTTAGCTTTTGCTACGCACTTAGATATACCATATGTCTAGATACATAGTAAAAGCAATGTATCTAACAAAAATCGAAACGTCTTATAATTTGGAACGGAGGGAATAGCTGATAACGATATGATTTCACACATTGGAAATTCATATTTTAAAATTTTAATGAACTAAAGGCTTTACATTCTCACTCTATTTTAAAATGTTGGCATTTTAGCTTTGTCCTAGGTCAAACGTCTCTAACTTTGACCAATCTATAATACCAAATAAATGTACTATCAAGACATATCATGGTGGAATTAGTGAAACTAAGTTCATGCTGTAAATGTTGGTCCATTTTTATTATATACACTTGGTCAAAGTTAAAGAAATATGGCATAGAACAACTGAAATGACCGAAATTTTGGAATAGATGGAGTGCATAACAATATCTGCAAGGCTGAAAAGTACAAACAAAATTCAGATTTAGCATTCATCTAAACAGCTAGGCAGAACATCTTCAAGGAAAAATTTAGGACGAGCATGAACATTAATCTAAATCAACAAAAAGAAATTCTCAATCCAAAATGGTACACTGAACTAAAAAATGCATAAAATGCCTGAAATAACAGAAACAAACTCCCTCCTAGCCAATGTCTACATTTGGAGACTGCAATACAAAGACAGGCTCATCCATAAAAATCCTGGAATCAATCTGCCCATCAGCCTGAAGGCAAATGCTTCCCTAACAAAAGAATGCTGGAATCAATCTGCCCATCAGCCTGAAGGCAAATGCTTCCCTAACAAAAGAATGCTGGAATCAATCTGCCCATCAGCATGAAGGCATGTGCTCTCCTAAATTCCTAACGCAGCCGCATCATCAGCCTAATGCTTATTTCAATCTCATCTCTCACTGAAACTTAGTTGAAGTGTCCACCCTATTCAGAACCGTTGGCCTCCTTTGAAACTTCAGGCAAGTAGAACAATATGAATCAAAGGTACAACCCAAACACATCAGCGGACACGTTTCACTTGACATGCGATCATCCGCAACATTACAGCGATAATGAGTCACGTCAGGAGTAGTTTTCAGTAGTGCGACCTAGAACCTATCTAATGCAACCTCGGACGCTACCGTCACAACAATCACGACCATAATATGAATCGAGAGATCCAGATCAAGGGGAAATGAAGGGGCACGAACCTGGAGGTGCTCGGGGAGGTACTGGTGCTTCATGGAGAGGTCCATGGCACGCTTGAGGCGCTGGATGCGTGCATCGACCACCTCCATGGGAAGCCTCCCGAGCGCCTCCTTGATGTCCAGGTCGAAGTAGGGGTCGTACAGGTCGTCGTACCTCAGCCCTGTTGGGTCGGATCACCGGATCACACGCACGCAGCAGATCCGAAACGCAACGCCAGTCAGATCAAGGGAACAAGAAGGAAAATGACGAAATCGCGAAGGGAACCCGGCAGGATCGAGGCCGTCTCGGATCCGGGATTACCGTATTTCCTGAGACGCGAGGAAACGGCGTGCATGTGGAGGCGCGCGAGCGGGTTGCGGCGCGGGTTCACCAGCCAGTTGGACAGCGCGTTCATCAACGACGACATGGTGGCGGCGCCGGGACCGAAAACCTCTTCCTCGTCTCGTGCGGCGGCGGGACGCGTTGTTGTCCTTCACCCCCTCGCTTTTGGTGGGGCAGAGAAGAAGAGGAGCGGTGGTGGGCGTGCGTGGGTGCGTGGACGCCGTCTCGGGCCGGGGCCTTTGGGAACTAAATGGGCTGGGTACTAATAGCCGGCCCGCACCGAAGAATTTGTGGCCTTATGGTATATCTAAGTGTTCTGTTTGGAAAGCCTCTGCAGTGGATACGGTCCCAGATCGCAAAGTTTAGCCCTTTGACCCCAAAATCTAAAAAGTTGCTATAGTATCTGTCACATCGAATGTTTACGGTCCGTGCATGGAGCATTAAAGGTAGACGAAAAAAAAACTAATTGCACAGTTTGGTGGGAAATTGCGAGACGAACGTTTTAAGCCTAATTAGTCAATGTTTGAATACTATTTGCCAAATAAAAACGAAGGTGCTACAGTAACCCAAAATCCAAATTTCGCGAACTAAACAAGGGCTTAATAAGCGACCGGTCGCGCTCCGCCTCCAGCGCGCGACAGCCGTCCGTGACGGGCCGGCCCAGTAGTGGCCATCGCCTCCCCAGGCCGAAGCACCAATCCCCAATCCGGGCGTCTCCTTCTCCACCTCCTTCGTTCGCAACACACCTCTGCGCTCCGATCGAACCTCCCGCAAGCCGTGTCCGAGACGAGATGAGCGAGCAAGCAGCGGTCGACGAAACGCCCCCGACGCTCTCATGCCGCACCGCTCTCGCCGGCGCGCTCTCGGCACACGGCCGGTGTGCGGAGGCGCTGGTGTTGCTCGCCGTCCCGGAGGCGGCGGCGGACGGCAGGGCGGTGACGGTGCTCCTGGCGTCGTGCGCGCGCCGGGATGGTGACCGAGGGGAGGCGCGTGTTCGCGAGGGTGCCTCGACCCGCGCTGCAGCACTACACGTGCATGGTGGAGATACTCGGGCGCGCCGGGAGGTGGAAGAGGCGGAGGGCCTAGTGGTCGGGATGGAGGCGCATCCGGACAGGGTCATCTTCGCGGCGCTCCTCGCCATGTGCACGGCCGCGTCGACGTCGCCAAGCGGGTGTCCGAGCTCATGCGCCGGTATGGTATTGAGTGAAAACGCACGGTCTGACTAATGCATCAGCAGTTGAAATGCAGTTCAGACCCAAGATCTGATCATCCATCATCGTGCATCTTTTGCGATGATTGCTTGGACATGAACCTGACTATGTGGTAGTGACCTAGTGTTTCCTGTTAGTACATTGGATTCTATTCAGTCGTTCATGCAGCAAGAGCCCTCCTAGCTTCTAAAATCAGAAATCTATTGACTGTCAGTCTGTCTGCTGTGGGTGAAGGTCTTCAGGTCAGTTCTGGCATCACATGAACATTGCGCCTGAATGCAACAAATGGCCATGAGATGTGTGTATATAGATTGTCATGCCAATTTTCTTGTCTCAGTCTGTAAATTGTCACATCAACTTTGTTGGAGCTAGCAGTACAGCCAGGACTTGTGAAACATGGATGCTTGATTACAAAATTTTAACTTTTAGTAAGTTTTGTGCAACAAGGTTCTGATCGAGACTTCCATGAAACTCAGGTGCCCTGTTCGCTTGGCTGATAAGGCATGGCTGAAAATACTGTTGGCTAATTTGTTATGAGAGAAAAATACCGTTCGTTGGTTGAAAAAATACGGCTTATAAGCCAGCGAATAGGGCGTTGTTGTCATGTCAGGGAACTTGTGGTGATGCACACTCATAATTATGGTCTCGAAGCTGCCGAGTTTCCAACATGTTCCGTGGTATGGAATGTATCTGCTAATATTGTTGAAAATGGAATATTAATGGCCAATGTAAGAATCTTAACATCCAGCGGTACCGTATTTCCTGAGCTAACATGAAGATTTTTCTTTTTCATTGTGTCTACATTAGTTTTCAACTTCTATTTGTCAATTTCAGTCTCATTATCTTGTTGTCAATTTCAGTTTTAGTATTATGTTTCTTTCTTTACTTTTTTTATTTTATCTACTTTAGTCCTCAAGAACTAAAATTGTCGATTTCAGTTCAATTTTCTGGATGTTATTTTCAGTTTCAGTTATTTTCACTATTTTGTACTATTTAGCCACTTGTGATAAGATCTATGAAACTATTTAGCCACTTGTGATGAGATCTATGAAATAAGACTATGATGCATGTGTTTTTAAAATAGTTTGTATGTACTGCCAACTTATGTTATATATGTAATAGCTATTTATGTATTAAACGTGTAGCAACATATATATTAACCTTCCAACAAATTATATAAACTAGCAAACGTGTAGCAACTTATGTATTAAGCGTATAGCAACTTATTTGTCAATTTCAGTATTCATTATTTGTTTTCACTTTCAGTTCTAGTTTATTGTACTTTCAGTTTTAGTTTTTTTATTGTGTCTTCTTTAGTTTTTATTTTCTATTTTCAATTTTAGTTCTATTTTTTGTTTGTCAATTTCTGAAAGGATCTAGGATGCCGTCTAGAGGGGGGTGAATAGGCGTTTCTGAAAATTAACACCTTTAAATACGGAAACAATTAGAAAAGGGAGTGGAAACTCCAAATCAAGAGTAATACCACCCATCACAAGTTAGTCACAGAGTAAATAAGGTATAAAGAATATATCTAGAAATTACAACCCTGCAACACAAAGTTAGAACAGAGAATAAATATTTTCAGCACAGGTAGAAAATACCGGACGTGTCCGGTATACACGATTTCTGCAGAACAGCCCCGAACTTGCTCCTTTCGATTTCTATCTTCAAGCCAAACTGCAGGCAGCTACTAGAGATGACAATATACACAAAGAACTTACATAAGAGCTGGAACAACACAAATATCAAATGAAATGCGAATTAAGACACGATATTTGTTTTACCGAAGTTCAGACTCGTTCGAGTCCTACTCTTCGTTGAGGGGGCTGCGAGCGACCTAGCGAAGGTCAGCCTTAGAGGGTACCACGAAGGTCACTCTAGCCGGAGCCTTTTTCTACTCCTTTTTCTCCTTCCACTAGTTGATTCCGAGGTGGCGGAATCGACCATTATAAACTTTTCGAGGCACACCACAATCTCTCGGGTGCTCTCCGGCGACGCCTAACCGTCTAGGATCGAAGAGTCCAAGAGTAACAAATACGAATAACGAGATTAACAATATGCACAAGTGCTCAAGTGGTTGGATTGCTCTCTTTTTGAATTTCACCCAACCCACAATTTGATTTAGCAAATTTGATCAATCACTCACTAAGAGAAGGTTTAGGAGAGTTGGCAAGGCTCAAAAACATGTATATGTATCAGCAGAATCAACAGCCTCCAAAGGTGGAGGCTTGGGGTATCTATAACCCCCTTAGAAAAACTAGTTGTTTTATAGCCGTTGCCATATGTATACCAGACACGTCCGGTATGACTTACACTGTCCCACGGTAACTAAGTTACAGTGATGTTGTGAGGTGTCGGAACTTCCGATGAATGCCGGAACTTCCGATCGTCGGAACTCCCGACCCTCAGCATATTTGAAAACTAAGTAACTGAGTTGAAGTTTGTGAGGTGTCGGAACTCCCGACGCATACTAGAACTTACGACCGTCGGAACTCCCGACCCTCAAGACATTTAAAACTAGCCGTTGGCCTCTGGTCGTCCATACCGGACATGTTTGGTATGACCACCACAGTAAACTCTCTGAGTTAGTTAAAGCGCGAGACGTCAGAACTCCCGACCGTTGTCGGAACTCCCAACGAACCAACCCAAAAACAATAATTTTATCATTGCTGGGCAAATACCGGACACGTCCGGTATTGCCAGACCAGCAAGAAATTAGTTAGCTCTTTTGTCTCTCAAATACTCAAAACTCACATGGGTTGGCTTAAGCACTTATGAAACATTATCTATCAACATGATGCATCCCTCTTAATAGTACGACGTTCCTATTAACTCAATTTTAAAAGTATAACGAAATTAAACCTTTTGATTTGATCTCTTTCAACCGAAGCCGTGTATTCCAATCTTCATCAAGTGAGGGTGCCAACATGTTGATATTGATCTTTTTCACTTGAGCATAGCCATCTTGAGCACGTGACTTGATTCCATTCATCAAATATAAATAAGTCCAATTTTAAGCCATCAAGTCACATCTTGTGTTGAATCATCTATTCATATGTATTGTTATCTTTTTTATTTTAATTTAGCAAGTTTCAAATATGAGACCATTGCATATGCAATCCCTCATGTCTCATTAATTAATTCTTATGAGCTTGCTTTCATATAGTACATGGAAATCCCACAATAAATAAGCCTTTGCATGAATTTCATTTGCATTGTTATCTTGTACTTAGATTGTTTATACAACAACACATCATTTTGGCTTTCATTAAGCGTTTGTGAGATAATCTATTACCTGTCCACACTTAGCAAACGGGTTAAACCTTTAATCACGTTGTCATTAAATCATCCAAAACCCACTAAAGGGATAGATGCACTTTCAATTTCAGTTCTATTTTTTTTTATTAATTTCAGTTTTATTTTGCAGCAAGTCATGTTTGCTGGATTTTGTAATAACCGCCTGCTAGTTGGAAGCAAGTCTTTTTTTTATGTTTTTCGTTGTGTCTATTTTAGTTATCATTTCCTATTTGTCATTTTCAGTTTTAGTGTCTGGTAGCTATTTTCAGTGGTTCAATTTTTTGTTCAGGTTTGAATGCCAATTTAAATCCTGCATGTTAACTATTCTTCAATATTTCCTTCTTCTAAATATTTCTTTTTTTAATGCTTATTTTAGTTTCAGTTTAATGAGTTTTGAGCAATTTCAATTTTTTTTGTTTGTCAATATCAAATTTTTCCCGATAATTTTACTTTCAATGCTATTTTGCATTTTTTTTTGTTTTTGTCATGTTTTTTTAGTTTCAGATTTCAGTCAACCTTTTAGGTCTTCTGCATATTAGTAGCCTTACCTATAATGTTTAAGTTGTTACAAAAAGGTAGCTATTGAATACATAAGTTACCATAAAAGAATTTGCCTCTCAGTTTCAGTTTTCAGTCAAGTTTTTTTTTCAGTTTTGTTAGTTTCAGTTTTCAGTGTTGTCTTGTTAATATTTCTTAGTTTCAGTTTTAGGTCACCCTTTTAGGTTTGAATGCATTCCTAAATCGTACATATTAGTTGTATAATAACTTATTTCATTTTTTCTCAATTATTTGTTTTGTTTTCTGGTTGTTAATTTCTTTTTAGTCAATTTTTTTCACTGATTTGTACTATTTAGTTACTTGTGATGAGATATATAAAATAAGACTACGGTGCATGTGTTTTAAAATAGTTTATATGTATTGGCAACTTATGTTATATATGTAATAGTGAAAGGACCTTGATGTCGCCTAGGAGGCCTAGAGGGGGGTGAATAGGCCTGTAAAAATTCAACTCGAAACTCTGTTAGAATAGAGGGCGGCACTGCCGCTCTTCAAAAATGAAGTAGACAGCTTTGAGATTTCACAGACAGTAACCTGACCCTCTCAGCTGCTCAATCCTGCAACAGAAAGACAAAATCCAGTTCAAAGACTGGATACCACAGAAATCTCACACAAGAGAGGATCGAGCTACCAAACCCAAACAATAGCTAGCAAAGAGCTAAACTAGTAAGAACATAAAGTGAAGCACGCGAGACACAATATTTATCCCGTGGTTCAGCTCGCCACCAAGCTTGCCTAAGTCCACGTTGTTGAGGCATCCACAAAAAAATTAGCTCACCACCAAGACTTGTCTTGCCCTCGTTCTCAAATCAAGAGAATGAACTCTTGAAGTGAGGGGTAATTTCTTAGCTACAGGATGAGGTTACAAACCTTCCAAGGCTGCCACACGAGTTGGCAAGCACAAGGGCAACGCCTAGCCGGCTAGGAGCAAGCTCCAAGAGTAACGAACAATAGAACCGCCGCCAAACGTGAACCAAATGCTCTTAGACTTTGGGAATCAGTTGATCTTCTCTCCAATCGAGTTTTGCTGCCTTTTCTCTCAAGTTTTGATGGTTAGAATCAAGGATTTGCTTGAGGGATGAAGGAGCAACAATGGAGGAGAGAGAGGTGAGCTTTTGGTCTGTTCAGTTTCGAACTGAACCGTTGGAGAAGAAGGATCT